AGAGTCACAAAGCCTCAAGCAATTGGTAGGGAAGATTAATTAATAGGATGTATGAAGGAGAAGAAGAAGATGACTGCCTCTAACTCTCGGGATCTCTCACGCACGGTTTCAACATAAGAAAGGGAGCTATCAATTTATAATAGTCCAATGGCCAACTTAAGGTAAGTCACAATATGGTAAGTAGGCTCGACTAGGGTTAAGTTCCAATAGCACACCAACAAGCCACAAAGATTATTAGCCATCCAATAGGTAAATCAACGCTAGGTCGGTTCATCCATTATTCGGTGTTGATTTATCGTTCAGTCATTCATGTCGACTGATAAAATTGGTTTTCATCATCGCCCGGGAGGTCGTTTGACAACATGATGTCTAACAGCTATGACAGATGGGCTTCGAAATAATGAGATAATGCTTCGGCAATAGCTTCTTCATGTTAACCAATTGGGTCTTCGTTGATTGTTAGATGTCTCCAAGTGATTCCATGTGGCATTCACTAAGACCTTTAGATTGAAGACGTAACATCATCTTATTTGAGGTATATTAGTGATTTTATTTTATAAAATGTTGGGTAATACAATCATTTCTTTAATAATTGCAGTTAGCATGAGAAATGCATTAACTTCTTTAAGATCAAACTGGAAATCAGGAAATCCATCTCAATCTGTCGAAATTTCACTTTTCAAATTAAAATTTGTCTTGAAAAGTCTCGAGACATCATTTTTCGAGGAAACAACCGAAATACGTGATGTGGAACAATTAGAATAGAAGATCATATAACAATTGAAAAAGAGGTGAAATTAGAAGAGCCTATGAAAATGTGCATAATTTTTACATCATGATTCACCTCGGACATCAGATTTTGCACGAGTGAGTATGATCCGAAAGCATTTTTCAGTTCTCTACAAATTTGCAGGGTAATGATCATGGCCTTGGCCTATATCGTCAACCTTTCGGGGTCAAATTTCATCATTTTGGGATATGTTTGAACATTTTTCTTTTTGAGTCAATTTTAGGTATTCTCATCATTTTTTTTATAGTTTCATAGTTTCATTCAAATTTGTCTACCGAATTAGGGTTTCATTTTGACTCTTTAAATATATGTTAAGGTTTGAAAATCCTACGGCCATTTTTTGATTTATAATATTTATGCTCTTCCATTTTCTGGTAGATTTTCGTACTTCTTACGTATGTTCAAGTGAAATTTGAGTAACATACGTTCGTGTATTATGAACAAAACTCTTTTATTAGTATTCACGTTTCCATCAAGCGTCGATAAAATTTATTTATAATTTAATTTTTGTCACAATGTTAAAACATAAAAGTTAATATTCCAAGTGGTACTATAAAATGGTTTGTATCATTCACCTCGATAACTGAATTATTCCAAGCGGCGTAGGATGAGAGGCAATCAATTCTCTCAAAAATGTCTTATGGCAAAAAGGGTTCAATCAAATCCTTTTGTTAGCGAGGACCAAGTCGTAGAATATACGTATAGTCACTATGTTTCTTTATTTTAGATATGTACCTGTTGGAGTGTAGACTAATCAAATTCAAAATAATGATTTTAGGGTATGTTCGATAATGATTATGAGAATTGATTTTTTGATCATTAAAAAAAAAGTGAATCCTACATATAAAAGAAAAAGTAAAAAATGACTACTGAAATAATAAATAACGATCAAAAAATTGATTTTTAAGAGTGAAAAATCAATACTGAGTTTTATGCACATAGTGCAAAGAACTCAGTGCTTCACCTATTATAATTGGCCCATTAAAAACGTTTTTTTTTCTCAATAATTTAATTTCTTATTTTTAATAATATATGTACTTTTCATACCTCCTATCAACGACAAAACATTTCACACCAAGCAACCTTAAATCCCTAACCACAACTTAATTACTACATATTTTCCATGCCACATTTAGCATGATTGTAACAAATAAGAAACATATGGGACAACTCAAAAGTTTTGCTATTTATTTTGGGATATAATTAAAATTTGATTGAGAACATATAATCGATCAAATAATTCAATCACCTCAGGATTTCTTAACTGAAAAATGAACGTCATTCTACTTCGAGTCTATAGAATCACTCTTCGAACATGAATTCTTCAAACTTTATTTGCTTTTGAGAGATATCGCCTCTTGCTCGTTACATAGGTTGCTTGGGGGAGGGGGGCGCTGTTCCCGAACTTTTTGTTTATGTTTGAATTTTTGGTCCAGATTATTTAAAATTCAAATTTTTTTTTTTAAAGTCATTTTGCAAGCATACTTTTTTCAATTAAATAAATTTGCACATAAATTCATAATTTTTACTACTTTTTTTTTAAAAAAAAGTTATTTTTCACAAAATCTATCACAAATATAATAAAACTTGCCCAAAATGATGTGATTATATTTATTAATGAAGATTATAGTAAAATATAATAGTTAGATTCAATTTCCACGAAAGAAAATATGGATAAAATAAATAATATTTTTCCAGCTTGAGCTAGAGCCACACGACTAAAATTTTTGAAGCTTTCTCCGAGAATCGCGGCCTGTTGCCGCTTCTTTACTTCTCCATAAAAAATTTTTTTTTCACCATTTTTTTTTTTCATATTTGTTAATCATTATTAACGAGCAATTAAAATTTACCATTATCTTAGAGACAAGAACTGACTTGTCTGCGCAATCACTGAGTTATATATAATATATTAAATGCCTAATTTCGTGATATGAGTAATAATAATACGAAACAAGACCAAAAAAATAATAATAAAATACATTTATTGTGGTTTTCACCTCAATCTAAATTGTCATGATTGTAATTTTGGCACGAACAGATGAATGGTCTTATGAATCGGATTGAGGGTCGTAAAATTCTTTATAATATTTATAATTACAATAATATAATATATTGCGCTTAAACGTTCATATAACAATTTAAGCATCTGTTTGGTATAAATTATAATCAAAATTTTAATAGATTTTGATAAAAGTTAATAGAATATATGGTTGCAAAGTTATAGATCCTAATGAAATATATTCTTAAAATTAATTGTTCACTTTCATTTGAGATTAAAATCATATTTTAATTTATCATTCACTTCTTACGATATCATCATAATCCTACAAATTTGTGATTTATTTATTTATTTTTTGCATGATTCACATTGTTTTATCGGTTTGACTTTTGAGATAGTACTATAATCATAAGATCATACCATCAAATTGTTATTTGGACAACCTTGCTCTCAATTGGAGAGATATGTCCACTATTCACCATAGGATTCCACTATATAATTAAGAAAAAAGGAGATTACCTTCTTTCATTTTTTTTCCTTCATAGTAAACAATTTGACATTAGTATCCTTTATATTCGAGGAAATAACAAGGTAAGTGATCCACGGTTGAGGAAAAAAGTGAACAGGCTGCAAAAATTTTCGAGCTTTCCAGTGGGTAGGCCTGGATGTGGATTGATTTGGGTAGGTTTCGAATTCAACTCGAAACCAAAATCAAATTAGTCAATTTGGGCAAACTTTAACTCAAACCAATTCACTCTAACTCTTAAACAGAACCAAATTGGTTTGGTTAATCGGTTTGGACTTTTAGTCCAAATTAAATTTTTTTAAAAAAAATTGTCCTAATCTTAGATGCACCTAAATTACAATAACTAAAATAATCAAATAATTTTATATTATAAGAACTATTGACTAACAAATAAATTGTCCTTGCTTTTTTATATATTCCGTAGTCTAATTGACTAAATATGGAAAAAAATGCTAACATAATATAATAAGCTTGTGAAAGAAAAAATTTAGTGCTACTATTTACCAATAACATCATAGATCAGAAGAAATCAATATATAGTTATGATATTAGTGTTTTTTTCTTAAATTTAAAAAATGTGAACATGTAAGGAGGTTTGGTTGGTTCAGTTAACCAATTGTTTGAGACTTCAAATCATAACTGAACCAACCCACGAAAGTTTTGTTCAAAAGAAAATCAAACCAAATCAGTTACCTGTATCGAACCAACCTGAATCGACCCGAGTCGGTTCGATTTGATCGATTTTTTGTTTTTGTTTTTGTTTTTTGTCCAAGCCTACTAGTGGGTCTGGTGCACTTTATGTACAGTTCTATTAGAGTCTGAACTTGACTCTCTAGTTGAATCGGTAACCAATCGACCCTCATATTAGTTCCTACAAATGTTGATATCGAGTTTTACAATTATAGTTAAAATACTTTACATTTACTATTCAATTTTATTGAATACTCTACTTAAATTTTATTGATCAAGTGATGACTCTTTACTTGCAATCAGCATTCTAAAAGACGTAATGCACGATGATGCGTGGAGGCCAAGCTATGGATTATGCGAGTTTATGTGAGGTATAGGTGTAAAAAAGCGTGAAAAGGCTTTTTTTTTGTTTTAGTATTATTTTAATTTTTAATCAATCAAAAAATCATTTAATAATTAAAAATAATACCTATCAAACAATCTAAAACAAATTTTTTGGAAATTTATATACTTTCCCAAAATTTTCAATAAAAAGATAAGTTCCAAATGTAAATATTAAATAGTAAATAAATAAGAATTTTTGGGAGATTTCCTTTGTTCAAAGCTTCAAACGACTATTTTGAATTTAAAATCGACGAAATGAAGAAATCAACATTTAAGTTTTAATTTAGAAGAATTATATTAAATAAAGGATAATTATGTGCGTCTAGGTGCACATAACTGCTAAATAAGACGCTAAACTACTTGATTTGACGTTTTCACCGCGCATCATTAGGCATTTTCAATGCACGTCATTTAGAACCGTGCTTGGAACACAAATGTAAGGTAGATAGATAAGAAGACAAAAATGGAGATGGAGAATAAAAGTATGCTAAAAATATTATTAAGGTAACAGAAACAACTGCACAGATTTGACCTTTTGATGTGTATGTACATATGTTCATATAATAATATATCAATCATCTCATATCACAAACCCTTATTTAATTAATTATTATAAACAAGTTTACCACTCTTTCATCTTCTTGTTGCGTATGGAGAATAGCTGTTTTGTTAATGAAAAGTCAGCGACTTCTCTCTCTTCTCCTTCCCTTTGTCTCTCTAAAAAACCATTCATTCTGTGAAAAAACGTTTTGATCTTCAAAAATAAGTCTCTAAAAACCTAATTTATATCAAGAACATCAAATTGCATGTTTTGTACGTCTGTTTGGTGCAAAAACCATGCGAAACTAAGCAAGTCAAATGATTAGACTGTACGTGTTGAGTTAGAGTATGTGCAGTCGGTTCTTGCAGGGAATTAATGGAGAATACTTATCAAGGTGATTTAGCAGATGTAGTTCGAGCCAGTGGTGGTGCAATCTCGCCGGAAGCACCAATCTTGAAATCTGACTGGCAGTTCCCAAGCATCGGGATCGAAGAACCAACTTATGATTTTGGCGATCCATTTTCCATCACGGGAGATCCACTTCTTCATGATAGTGATACCCTTCCAGTACCTGTTTCTGGTTTCTTAGACACTGGAAATACTGAAGTGTTAACAGCCGGTGGCGGCGGCGGTGGTGGAGGAAATAATAATATTCTTGATGACAATAGAAAAAGGCCTTCTAACATCTTTTCGAGGTTGCAGATGTCTCCCAATTCAAAATTTTCCTTATCGCCATGCGATTCTCCGTTGGGATTAAAGGCTGCAGCTCCTTTGTTAGTGTCTAATGATCATAGGATTTCTCAAAATAACTTTGAAAGTTGCTTGTTGGAAAGTCCTACTGTGCAGATCTCGTCTCCGCGAAATCCGGGCATCAAACGAAGGTGATTAATTATATATGATTAATCTCTTAACTTAAACTTTGATCTTCTTGATTGTTTAAATCACAACCTTATATTTTATGCAACCTAAACACCGTTGAAACTGCAGGTTTTCATAAAATAATTAACTACTAATCAACGCGAGTTTAGAATCTCAAAGTAGGGTTTGCGATAGAATAATTAAACAGTTTCTTGGGTTTATATTCTTGATTTCTGTATATGTTTTTTTTAAATTTTTATGGAGTTCGCTTTCATGTAATTTATTGCATACAGTGTTCATGGACACCCCACTTACAGGATTTCCGTTGTGTAGTCTTTCAAATTCTGCATCAATTTCAGCTTTTTTAAGAAAAGAAGAAAAAGTGATGAAGCAAAAAATCTGAAAAAGCCATAAAACACGGTACTAAATTCATTTGTGGATTCTGATTTTGATGTAACCAGGAAGAGTCAAGCCAAGAAGGTAGTTTGTATTCCAGCTCCTGCGCCTGCAAATAGCAGATCCAGTGGAGAAATTGTTCCTTCTGATCTTTGGGCCTGGAGAAAGTATGGACAAAAACCCATTAAAGGATCCCCTTATCCAAGGTAAATCTTAATTAAGCCTAGCTTTTCACTTTTCATAGGATAATTGAATCAAGATTTGAGAATTTTCTTAACGCCTGGTTAATTCTTTTGATTTTTGATCAATTTAGGGGCTACTATAAATGCAGCAGTTCAAAGGGTTGTTCTGCAAGGAAACAAGTCGAACGGAGCCGAACCGACCCGAACATGTTAGTCATCACCTACTCTTCTGAGCACAACCATTCATGGCCAACTCAAAGAAATGCTCTAGCGGGTTCCACAAGATCTCAGCCATCTAAGAACAATAGTTCAGCTTTAAAGAATTCATCAATTTCTGATAATCAAGCTCAAAGGTCTACAAACCCGAAGGAAATGACCAATACAGAAAATGTATCCTCACCACCTTTGAAAGAGAAAACGGGTCAAGATTGTAACAGGAAGTTAGAAATGACTGATGACATAGAATTGAGTGAAGGGTTTCGACAGATCTATAAGCCGGCATTGTTGGCTGATGAAAGCAACCATGGCGAAGACTTCTTCGCAGAATTGGGCAAAATCGAAACCGACCCTTTAGATCTCTTATTAACTCCGGGATTTTCTGGAGAAGAAGGTGAAGAACAGAAGGCCATGAATCCATTCAGCTTCCTCAATTGGAGTACTACAGGAAACAACCACCACCATAACAGCACCTCATTTGGAGAAGCTAAGAAGGATTCATAGTTAGCAAGATCCCATAAGCAACAGAGATAAGATAATATACACAGTTTTAGCAGCTTCTTTCGGTGCAATTTCAGTCAGGCCATGCATAAACAAACACAAAAAACTATCATCTGATACATGGGATCTATCTAGATTATTTTATATGATTTTCACCTTTTTTCTGTAGTTAAAATTCTGTTGGTAAATTTGGGAGCGTATAAAGCTGCAGAGCGTGGGATTAAATCCCGGGCTCTGATCCAGGACCAAGGTGGCCAAATCTCGGTCCCTGGATGTGTGTGTGGGGGCCTCCACATGAAAATGATCAAGGACCGAGGTGGCAAGAGCAGAATTCGAGCTTTTATCCCGGGTTCTGTAGCGTGATTAGAGAGGCCAGGAGTCCATTTCTCTTGGCATTTTATTAGATGGGACAGAAAGCTGAGGAACAGAAGGCTTCAACAGTTATAAAAAGTGCATTTCTCAGATATGACTGGATAACTCAATTGGATGGGACAATTTCGAGAGTGGGAGGAAATTATTCAACCATTGTACACACCTAAATTTAAAGGAGCAAAATCTATATATTATAAAGTAGACAGCTTAGAAATTTGGAAAATTATTGTTGTTATAATGTATGGCATTTCTTATCAATCGAGTCACTATGTATATATAACTAATTAAAAGGTCAATGTAGAACCATGTTATCATTGTGTTTTTTGGTTCAGAATTTTTTCTTGTTTTCAATTAATTAGTTATAATCATATTTTCCAAAGACATACTGCCTATATAATCATACGAAGCTTGAGATTGCTCGAGGCTGAGCGGCCATAAAGATATCTAAGGCCACTCTCGATCTCTAGAATTATTGATGTTGCTTGCCTTGAGCAGCCTCGAAAGGGTGAAAGGCCACTCAAACTCTAGTGGTCTCATGGGCAACAAGGGCGATTTGACCTCGAACGGCTCCAATAATGGCCGAGGTCGCTTGACCTTCATACGGATCGCAATGGAACTAGTCGGAGTTAGGATGTCAATACAATTCTCGTCCTGCCAATAATTTTCAAAAAGTGGGGCGGGCCAAAGAATAAATGTTAAATTATTTATTTATTTAATATATTTATTATATTTTAGAATATACTTTTATTTGAAAAACATAAAATAATATAAGAAATTCTAGGCGAATTTGGAGAATTCTGGCGTAAACACAGAATTTTGCCATCTCTACCTTGAGAGGCTACTCAAAATCCTATTCCTCGTCCACAGTGTCGTTCCGAGAAATCATTTCCTTGTCATTTTGCAGTGGAATTTGATCGCCAACACCTATGGAAGAGGAGAAACCCACCTAACATCCTACTATATAACCATGCTATTATTTAGGTCCTAAATTAGCTTAGATAACGTAGCTTAATTGGGTTATTAGCACAAAACGTCTATATTTAGCTCTTTATTGTACAAAACGTCACTATGTTTAATCTTTTTTATAATTTCACCCTTATTTTCACCTTTCATTATGTAAAATGTCTTTCTGTTCATATGATATGAGTTCCACAGTTAAATGCATACTTGAACTCTTATTTTAAAAGACAAGAGGTAAAATGGTTAAGCCACTTTTTTTGGCTCTTCTTCCCGTCGAAAATAGGTTATTCCACAAATTAAAAAAGAAATGAAGCATTAATATATTAAATCAGCAAGCATTCAGATTAATCAAACAAATGAAGCAAATACGATGAAACAATCTTAAGTTTCAAGTTCTTGAATCTGAAATAGAGAGCACAAAACCGTAATTGTTTCTAAAATGAAGTGCGTTATTGTTTCAAGTCCACTGTTGATAACCACTTGATGCATTTTTCATTTTTTAGTTGTGAATTCCATACTTGCTCTCATCCTTCGTGACTCTCCACAGTAAACTGCTACCAAAAATCATAAAGATCATTTTCTAAGAATTCTACATCAAAACTAGATTTGGTAATCCCTTTTTTCCACTGAATTGAACATGCGATAAACATCCCTAACTTTCAAACGTCTTATTCAATATGTCCCTACCTTTCAACATGTTTTGCGTAAAATGTCCCTATCTTTTCAATGGGTTTTGAGAAAAACATCCCTACCTTTGAATGTATTTGTGAAAACCATCCCAGCCTATGTTTGTATTTACAAAATTGGTTCTTTTCATCTTTTGTAAGCATCTTGTTTCAATCATGGCAACTCAGACACTGACCAAACTAGAATTTAAACCCAGCAACTTAGATAAAACAATTGAGACGGAAAATAAAACTTTTCAATGAATTTTCAATAATAATAATAAAAAAATAGCAACTATAGCAATTCACAACCAATTTTGCAAAGGTAATTGCGCGTCTGTTTCCTTCTTAAGGGAAGAAGAGCCAAAAAAGTGGCCTGACCATTTTACTCTCTGTCTTTTTAAAATAAAAGTGAGTCCAAGTGTGCATTTAATGATGGAACCCACAACAGATGGACGGAAGGATGTTTTGTACAATGAAAGGTGGAAATAGGGGTGAAATGTAAAAAAAGAAATGTATGGACGTTTTATACAATGAAGGCCAAACGTATGAATGTTTTGTGCTAATAACCCTAGCTTAATTAGCTTTCATTGGTCTCCCTAGCCTTTTTGAACAAGATTAGTGTCGGATCAATTTTTATAATCACAAAGAACTCAACAAAATAGTAACATTTTGCTGGCATGTAAGGTAATCCTTCTTTCTTTACATTAGTGCGTCAAAGTGAGAAAAGACAGTGCAAGCTTTGTTACACTGAAACCTAAATGTTAAGTTAGCAACACTTCCAAATGCCACTTCTTCCAGTCGCATCCGTCTGCAGGACGATCTAGTATTTGACATGTATGATCTTGACTATACATTTGGGCACTTTTGTATTTCTATCATTTCATAGTATTTGGTAGGAATTTTGAACTATGTTATTTTTATCTTGTTAATATACTTAAAATAAAACATTGATGGAGTGTACTGCAACTTGATAATATTATTTCTGACATTACACTAGTTGGCATCGAATAAAAATACAGTTGACGTGCTGTAGAAATGTTGGCCAAGATCACTTACAAGATGCAGTAGGGTCTTTGCGACACTCATATAGCGCTTGTCAATAGGTAATTAGTACATAACGTACTTACCTTTCATTACTTTTATGCAAAACGTCATTATTTTTTATTTTTTAACATTTTCGCTATTAATTACATATTTGATTGCACAAAAGCTCGTTTTCCTCCATTGTCACCAAACTTCTCCATTAAGTGAAGGGTATTTTTGTCTTATAATTTTTTTTTCTCCCTTTCTTCCCATTGAACTCATTTTCTCCTCTGTTTTTGGTGGGTTTGACAAGGATCAAATTAAAAAAATGAAGCTGTAAGAATAACTGTTAACAAAAGCAAACATAATAAAATCATAGATAGATTGATAAAGAATTAAGAGGAGAAACAATACTTCGAAAATTAGATACCCAAACCTCTTAAAAATGGGTTCAAATAGGAAGATAGAGAAAAAAATGTTATAAAACGAAAATACCCTTCACTTAATGGACAAGTTTGATGAAAATGGAAGAAAATAACTTTTCGAGCAATGAAAGATTTAATTAAGGGAAAAATGTCAAAAAATTAAAAGACAATGGACGTTTTGTACAATAGTAACGAAAGATAAGGACGTTATGTACTAACTATCCTTTTATTATTTATACGAAAATAATTAATCCTATACAACATTTACTTTTCTAAATACAAGAATAAATTTACTATTAAATTATTATTATGAGTTCAACATACTAAATATATAAGATTTTAAATAAAATAATACTATTATTTTGTCCCAAGTGCCAACATTAATTATGGTGACTTCTCTTGTCACAGAAGCACTTTCCATGAATTATTATTTGGTAAATAGTGACCTTAGGTTTTGTCAAATCCATCAACTTTCATAACAAAGAAAAAAAATTAAATTATACCCATATCAACTGAAGTCACTTCCTTACAAGAGGAAAAAGAAATTAATGAAAGTGTAAAGTAGGAATGGCTTTCTCAAGTTGATTGATTGGATGAATGTAATTATGTGTTTGATAGAATTTTTGAGTTTTGTTGGAGTTACTGTTGAAGTATGATTTTGATGGGAAATAAATAGCAATAAAGCACAAATTGCATGGCCAATGACCAATGTTTAAGTGTTTTAGAACTTGTGGCAATTAATCTCTATATCGTGATCATGATAAGATGTTAATTTGTGCGGATTGAATCATTTTCTAATTTGGCTTGACTCGTATTTCAACTGGGTCGAGTTGAAATGAATATGTAGAAATATGCTAAAATCAATGCAATTTTACCCAAAAGTGTAGCGTGGGTAATACACAATTTTTTACAATATGAATGAAATTGATCCTCGAATGTAAAATTTTTTGAAAATATTTTGCACCAACGAAAGTATCCAATTTTACACTCTCGAATAAGTTAAAGTTGTTTTAATGAATAAATTAAATCTAATATCTTGCTTTAAAAAACATAAAAAAAAAGTTGCTCGACTTGACATCACTATTCTTTAAGACTTACGAACCTCAAATCCTTAAATTTGTCCTTAGAAACATCATTTCCTGCCTTCAAGTCAAATAATATTATCATTATTCAAGTAATCCTTTTTTTTTTTTTTTTTTCATTTTACGAATTATTGGCTTTATTTTATTTTATATGCTTTCATTCTCATTTTTATTTTTTGTCCCTGTTTCTACTTAACAATATGTTTGAGACAAACAAATCAAAATTAGGTAGGCTAAAATTTGATACAATTAATAATAATAATAATAATAATAATAATAATAATAATAATAATAATAATAATAATAATAATAGTGTTTCAACCCTGTAAAATAATATTTGTTTCCTATATATCTGTTTGTCCCTATTACAGTAAATCTACTGTAAAACTCTTGGAACTTTAATCCATTTTGTAAATGTAACTAATTGTCTTACTATTGACTTCTGAAAAATATATTAATATTTCCCCCGTTTGGCCCCATCAAATTAAGTTTCATTTTTCTCTATCCTATTTTCAATTACACAATCTTCCATAAAATATATATATATATATTCCACCCATTTTAATTTGAAAAAAATGGGGGCCAAACAGGTACATAGTAAAATGTTGTAACACGTTACTTTCATAACGGTTTGGTACAAATGTATAATATATTAGGAAAGTAAGATTCATAGACGAAGTTACGAAGATGTTTCTAGGAATTCATCGTGAAAATTATGTTGCAAATGGTAAGTTTATTAGTTAATGACAATAGTACCCCTACAATCCTAAAAATTACTACCGTCGTATTCTCGATTCTTCCCTATAAAGATTGAGTTCTGGTTCTTAGTAAAATATACACAAGTTTACAGAGTTTTATTCTCTCTTTTCATAATATATTATCAACACGAAAGTTTAATTTTTCAAAATTTAGGGAAGGTAGTGGTTTCACCCACCCATAATCTGGGCTCTTGATTTGAAGTTTCTGTTGGAAAATAGATTCTCTGAAGGGGAGCAACGGAGAAGAAACAAAGAATAAAATCAGCAACAAGATATCAAGATAAAAATGTAGATGAAGGCTCGAATACATAATCAATGCCCTCAAACGAATTTGCCCCCTCTCGAATTAAAATGTGGTGCTTAAAGGGATTATCAGCAAATGGTTTGTAGGATTAATTAAGCCTAAAAAGGAATA